TACATCTCCCACCATCCCTAGCTAGTAGGACCTGTGGTCAGGGATGATGGGAATTGTAGTCCAAAAACAGCTGGAGACCCAAGTTTGAGAAACCCTGGTCTAGTTCATCTTTGTCTACACTGACTGGCAGAGTTTCAGACAGGAGTCTTCACAGCTCTATATGGAGAAGCTGGAGAGTAAACCTCGAATCTTCTGCATGCAAATCATTGATCTGCCACTGACCTCTGACCCTCCCCTGCTTTTGATATAACCATGGCAGTATGAGAAGTGCTGTTTCTCAAAGCAATCTTACATGTCTGAGGTCTGCAGCAGAGTCATTTTACACATTACATGTATCATGTGGTGCTGGATCAGGCCAGTGGCCCATTTAGACCAGGATCCTGTTCTTGCAGTGGCCAACTAGCTGCCCATGAGCTGGTTGGCCACTGCAAGAACATTAGCAGGACCTGAGCACAACAGCATTCTAGGAAATTAGCCAAACGTATTACTTAGGCCAAGGCCCTAACCACTAGCATATTAATTATCTGTATGTATTTTAAATTGCTAACCCATCTTTTGACCCAAGTCAGGCCCTCAAGGCAGCTTACAAGCAAATAATAATACAATATTAAAAGCCACGTGAAATCAAAATTATTTTTAAAAAACCAGCAAACACTAACAACAATTTAAAATGCAGCACCAGGATAATCAGAAGCAAAAGCGTTCCTTTCTTTATGCAGAAAACGTTTAACTCTCTTACGTATGAGTCTATGAGGCCAGAAATCCAAAGCTATCCTAACAAATCCACGAAGCATTTAATCATGTACAGAGCCCCCGATGATGGGACAAGTGTTCAATTTGTAAAGGCAGCTTCCTCGTATAAGACGCTGGCTGTAAGTTCACAGACATTGTATATGGATGGTGCTTGCATCTTGCTTTAGAACTCTTTGTCATTCAGAGTGTCATCTGTTCAGCATTTATTACCCATGCAATCCATAACATGTCGGATATCACATTATTAAAGAACCAGCATCACTGCATGTACCAATCATTTCAGGAAGATGAATAATACATTTATAAATAACGTTGCCTCAAACTAAAGTGTAACAACTGCAGGGGGAGAGAGAGAAGCAAGTAATATTCATCAGTTTGGCACAGGGATGCTGCCAAAAAAATAAGAGCCCTGTGTCACATTCTCCCTCTTTCTCCAGTGATGTCACCCTGTTGTGCATTTTCCTACCCATGCTAGCAGCAGCCAGTGATGTAGAGGACAATGTGATGGCATCATAACATGGGTAAGTGTTGCTGCTCATTATGCTGTTCAGAAGCAGTTCAGTGTTGCCTGTAGCTTGTAGTTCCATCCTTGGCTATCATGCTCTTTGAATACAAGGAAAACACCAGTTTGCTTCTGCGACTAGAAGCCCAGGCTATAAATCATTCTGCAAAACCACATGTGGAGATGAAACAATATTTAGAGCTTCTCACTAGGATCACTCAGGAAATGAGTGGGAAATTGCATCCTTGTGGTAACATTTTTCATCCCACGGCAGAAGGAAAAATAAAATTTGGGAGAAAAGTCTGATAAGGATATCCAGAATCCTTTGTTCTGCACCAAATACCACTCCTTAAATAGTTGTTTGTGTTCGCACAATGCAAGTTCTATCACACATATTGTTTTCTAGGATATTTCCCCTCTATACTGCCTGCACATGTGTAAGGTGAAGTCAGAAGGGATGCATTACGGTGCTCACTTCTCTGCTGAAAAGAAAACAAAGTACGTTTTGTGAATTAAAAGAAGTGAGGTTTTTCTTTTACTTGTTTTTCACTTCAACAAAGCCCTTGCTCTGATCAGGGAGGGGAGTGTTAGAAATTAAATTAGGGTTGGGGGAGAACTGCTTCAGTTCAGATTTTAATGTGAACCTGCCTAATTTGCACTGTAGAGATGAAATGCAGTTATCTTTTGAAAATTGCACTTCCCCTAATCTTGTGATACAATTCTGCAAACAAATATGTTTGTGTACAAAAATATGTATATTGTGGGAAAGTGTGGAAATAGCATATAAAACAGGGGTCGGCAAACTAAGGCCCGGGGGCCAGATGCGGCCCCCCAGGCTTATAAATCCAGCCCGTGCCACAAAGCCAGAACCTGCCACGAAGCTGTGACTCCCGAAGATGGTGGTGGGAGGAAGAGACCGAGCAGCAGTGGCTCTGCCAATCAAACGCTGTGCCTGGTTTGATTGGCAGAGCTGCCACTGCTTGGCCTCCTCCTCCTCCTGCCCCTGCCGCCACCACCCTGGTGCTCCTGTGGACCAGAGAGCAGAACGGACAAGCTCGCTCTGCCTACCTGCTTCACCACCAGCAGCAGCAGCAGCGGTGGTGGCAGCGGTGGCCCCTGGGAAGGTAAGCACAGCGCCGTCTTTCTCTAGACAGGGAGGAAGTCCGTTTCACGCCACTGCCACCAGCCCTTCGGCGAATGAGGCAGGCAGCAAACCGAGAAGGCAGCTGGGGTTGGGGGGGGACTACTTGCCCCCCTCACAGTGTGTATAGGAATTCAGTGTGTGTGTATACACACACACACACACACACACACACACACACACAATCCGGCCCTCCACAAGGACTGAGAGCCCCCTGCGAAAAATGTTTACAGACCCCTGATATAAAACAAATAATTTTCATGGAAAATGCTTGCATCAAAGGCAGATGTAGGGGAGCATGACCGGTTTGGTCACACCAGGAGCAGAGCTTCTGGGGCACCACAGCAGGAGCTGCAACTTTGAAGTCCAATGAAAGGCAAGAGGCAGAGGGTGCCAGATTTTGCTGCCACACTGGGCACCACTGAAATTTGAGATGCCAAGGTCCGCCACTGCTTGCATAAATGTCAGGCTCTCTCCCATTTTGGCACTGCCCTCCCTTCTGTCCTTACAAAGCCTCTGGGCAAACTGAGATCTGATAAAAAAAAGGCATGCTGAAAAGAAAAGGCTACATAACTTGATGTTCCTTAAGTATATTCCATGATTATGATGTCTATTTTGCATCCCTGTCGAGATTGCATCTGGGACAGGTGCCCCCATAATTCCACCCTGCTAGTTGCAGTTCCAATCCATTCTAACACTGGATTTGGGGCAAATCAAGAAAGAGGAACAGGTAGTGGCTTCCTAGAAATCTTTCCAGTGAGGAAACCATGGCAGAGTGATGTGAAAAGTGTGAGATGAGGCAGCTGAAACCACTGCATTCCTTGTACTTCTCCCTCCTTCCCCCATGTACGTCAATACTTTCCTACCTTGGCTCTGAACATATTCACATTCTCCTGAACTAGCAGCTTAAATCACAAAGCAATATGACCTTTCATCTCTATATTGCCACTTATTTTCATATTTCTATCTCCTTACTTGACAGACAAATCAAACTGCTATGCACGCCAATGCTTTAATAGCATATTCTACCTTCTCCTCAGGAATAAGTTATACTGAAGATCTTCTAGCACAACGGTGGCCACTCAGAACACACATGCAAATCACCGTTTATATTGGACTAATTGTGGTCTCTTGTCTGTTGTCTCTCTCTAGTGGCTGGATCTGGTACCTATCTGGCAATAACAATGCCTATGGAAGTCTGTTAAGCACCTGAAGAAATCAACCCTTCCATTCATGAAGTCATGCGTAGTTTGCTGGAACATTCAGACTGGAAACATACTGGACAGGCAGTGGTCTGTCACTACTTGAAGCCATGCTGATTGCAACCAAGCCAGTGGAATTATTGTTCTCTCGGAAACTCAAAGTGTGCTTCTGTTCCTCATGCGTTCTTGCTTTAAAATGTTTGTTTTGTCAAGATACAGATGATCAAGTTGTATTATGCTGTTTCCAAAAGCAATGTTTTAACATATGAACATAAGAAGGACCAGCTGGATCAAGCCAAAGGCCTATCTGGTCTAGCATCCTGTTCTCACTGTGGCCAACCAAATGCCTATGGGAAGCCCACAAGGAACACTTCTATTGTATCATACAAATGCCAGTGTTGGGTCCTATAAAATAGAGCAGACATGAAACTCCACAAAGGATAGACACCTCAGGTGTATGGGGCAGATTGTGAGGAGCATTAATATGAAGGTAGAGGTTGCAGGAAAACATGATCTGGAACTGGGTAGGTGGTATAGTAGGAGATCCGAGCCAAGTAATCTGGAAGAAGGAAACAGAAATAGGCACTGGGGCTCAAGGTCAGAGACCGACTGTTGATCAAGCAAAGATTGAGGCTTGCGCTAGAAGTACCATATTTACTCAGATGTAATGTGTGCTTTTTTGGCCAAATTTTGTCGTGAAAATTAGGATGGGCCTTAGATTTGATGGCACATTTACATTCACCAGCAAATACTTTTTTGGTTTCAAGGTTTTGAAAACTGAGGTGCGCATTAGATTTGATGGCGCATTACATTTGAGTAAATACAGTACACAGCAGGCCAGGATGTACCAATGGACTGCTGGGGTGAGCAGAGCCATGTTGCAACGTGAGAGAGCAGGGCTAAATTAGTTGATTTTCTACTCTGCATCTACAAGGGAAACCAGGACACAAATGAGGAAGTCACCATTCAAATCCTAGTTGATCCTGACAAACAAGCTAGATTCAGAATCAAAGCCAGATGTTCACCTAGTCAAGCACACTTTTTCTTTGCTTATATTTTATTTCTACTATAATGCGCCATCTCTCCCTCTCAATGGCATAATCCCGTCCACATGCCCAACCACTTGCAGCTGGGATCCTCACTGATAAAGTAGATGGCCTCATAATGCCTTAGAAGAAAGGCAAGACTACCAAGTCAATAGGCTTTTATTTGGACTCAGATTTCAACTCAGATTGGGGACGGACAGAGACTTGCAATGGAAAGCAGTTGCTGAAGACTCCCGCAAGGCCACTCCGAACTTGAAATCAGTCACCTGTGAATGAAACACATATGTATTTCTGTTGATTGAGTGGTATATAAATCATGTTAAATTAAATTAAATTAAATATGCAACCTTTGTATAAATCATAGCCATTTCGCCCTCTTTCATTTTTGTTCATGATGTATAGCTTCTGCTTCAAGACTTGCAGGTTTGATATATTCATTACAACTTTTTTTCTATGTAGATAATGCAAATAAATGAATGGAAAAAGAGACAGATTTATTTGTTTGTTTGTTTCATTTCTAAATCACTCTTCCTCCTAAAGGAGCCTAGGGCAATGTACAACAGGGTATAAAATACAAAATAATATAATAAATAAAGCATAACAATAACCATTATAACTATAAAATAACTAACTCAGACCCCTCAAAATACGTGCATAGTACAAAAAAGCATCTGCAGCTGTTTAGAAAAAAGATCACTTGTGTAATGCCATATGTTGCCATTATTGTCATGCAAACAAGCATGGATAAAGAGCAGGCCTTCTGAACCAAATCAATGATTCCTCCTGCCCATTGTCCTGTCCCTGACTCTGGCCATTGTCAGATGATGTGCTAATAGAACCTTCTAATGGGGAACCTGTGGTTCTCCAGATGTTGCTCAACTAACTCCTATCAAGCCCAGCCAGTGTGGCCAGTAGTCCAGGGATAATGGGAGTTGTAGCCCAATAGTTCAGTCGGTTAGAGCATGAGACTCTTAATCTCAGGGTTGTGGGTTCAAGCCCCATGTTGGGGGAAACATTCCTGCATTGCGGGGGGTTGGACTAGAAGACCCTCATTGTCCCTTCCAACTCTACGATTCTATGAACATCTGGAGGGCCACATGCAAGAGAGGAGCCTATTCCATGCCATCCATTCCCACCCTCCAATAGTGAATGGTGTAGAATATAAATGTGAGGCATGAGTATGCTACCTTCACTAAAGATGCTGCAGCCCATGCACTCACTGGACCATTCTTCTCTTGTCCCATCACAGAAGGAGCAGCTCAAAGTATTGTTAAAAGGGAGCTTCTCCAGGAAGTAGAAGCCTTAAAGTCAAGGCTCTAAGCTTTCCAACTTTGTCTCACTGTTCTCATTTTGGAGTAAAGGGAGTTAAAAAAAACAAAACCTAACTAACTAACACCTTACTTACATCAGTTGTTTGCGCTGAAGAAGAACGTTGTCAGTTGCCACAATTGCCATGGAACAATTTATTCACAAGTGTGCCTTTCACCCAATATCAAAAAGATACAAGGTTCTCCCTCTTGGTGGGATTCTTTATGTTGCAGCTCCTCACAGCGAAGAGATGTGCGCTCACTCTCTACCTATTATGTAAAAGAAGAAAGAGCAAATGAATCTTTCATGGAATCCCGCCTAGCACTTTACTGAAAAGAGCACAGTAATGTTGCGTTTATCCATCCATCTCTGAGCAAGCAAAAACTGATGGGGAGGAATGGGGGGGGGTTGATTAATATGAGATTTGAGGATCCTCTTGGCTCTCACCATTGGTTCTTTTTGAAAACTAATGAATCAAGGCTGGAAGATCAAAGGAGATGATGTTCTGTCTTACACTAATTAACCTTCCCAGCAACAGAGGAAGCTAGATGAGGGCGGGAGAGGACGTGTCACCATAATACTTTGCACGGTGGGAAAGCCTACACTCAGCAATTAGAACAATTTTCAACTCTGCTGCTGATTACTCTGTCATGTTCAAAGAAGGGCAGATCATGGTCTGCCCAGGGCTTCATGCATATTATATATAAAGTGGGCCGGCTCCCACCTACTTAGGCAGTGAGAGAAGATCTGATTGCTCCCTGCCTTACATAGCAAGGGAGTTTTTAAACAGACCGTATAGTTATGGAGGATGCATGATTGACAGGCGCTAACACTACCCAAATACCTGAGATGCAATCAAGGGCTTGCTGATTTTGTAACTGCACACGTTTTAAGGAAATTGATTGATGTGTAATAACTTGTAATGCTTTGAATCCCTCCAGAAAAGAGTACCCGTGGTTGCTGAACATAAAATATGGTGATGCAAGGCATGATTGTTTACTTCTGTTCTGATTTCTAGGAGATAGTGCAACACCCACTTATTCAAGAAAACTTTTGAGCGATAAGAACTGCTGGCCTGTCTTTAGTTTGCCATTAACAACTAGGTGAGGCAGTAGACGGAAATAGTTTTTTACTGATATTTTGGTATGATTTTTATTGTTACTTGTATTGAGGGGGGGGATTCGTGTTAAGGTATGTCAGCTAGGGATGCTCAACAAATCTGCTGGGTCTGCATTTCAAAGTGAATTCACCTGATCTACACTCTCCCACACCTGGGAGGTTTTTCTCTAGGCTGTTGCCAACACATTTGGAACAGGAAGCTCCAAGCTCCCTGTCCAATGCATAGCCTAGACATCTTGGTCAGATGCTGAGATTAAGGTGAGGTTTTATTATGGTACTTTGAATTAAGTTGGTTGTTTTATTTTTAAAAAATCATATGATTAGACATGAGAACCCCACCTTCAAACCTTATTTTGTGGCTTTCAGTAGGTCACTCTATCACCTTCCTTTTATAGGGTTCTTGTGAGCAGGTCAAGTGATAATATATTGCCACACACCTTGAATGCACAGCAAAGGAGGAAAAAGAAACCTAAATAAGATCAAGCAAACGTCAGTATGGGTTTGAGACAAACTCAAGATGCTACTGAAAAGCATTTGCCTGTTCCAGCTGCCAACCTAGACCATCATCCTAACAAAATTTCAACCCCTGCTATCCCTCCCCCAATGCACATAAGCCTTGAAATGGGTCTGGGGTCTGGCAGCCTTGCATCCATCTCATGTGGGGAGGGATGTCAGGGGCAGGACAGGGCAAGGCTTAGAAGAGGTTGCTTGTGTTTCTTTTTTGTAAACCCCATTCCTCAGTTGGCATATTCAGAACAGATTTGGCATCCAACCACCTGGATCACAATGCAGGAGCAGATGGTCATGTAAAGGCCTAAGAAGCAATTTATTTTGGTTTTGGCCTGCTAACTCAATTGACAAATGGAAGCAAAGTCGTGTGTGTGTGTGTGTGTGTGTGTGTGTGTGTGTGTTGCCTAGTCTGTACTGTGCTCTGGAGAAGGACTGTAGCTCCATGGAAAGATGCATGCTTTGCATCCAGAAGCTTCCAGGTTCAGCCCCCAGCATCTCCAATCAGAGCTGAGAGAGACACCTGTCTGAAGTACTGAAGGGCACCTGCCAGTCAGCACAGATAACACTGATCTGGAGGGACCCATGATCTGACTCTGTATAAGGCAGCTCCCTAAATCTACTCTGGGGATTAGCTCTCAGTGCAAGGCACAGGGTCAAAATAACACTCACTTGTTGGTCACAACGCAAGACAGTGCTGAAAAACTGAACCTGAGATGAGGAAATATTTTGGATGCTTTGGGAAGGAGCCATTCATTGCTCCCATAGCTCAAGTGATACATCTTTGGGTGAACGTTCATATCATCTACTCTGAACCCAATGGTGAATCTGATATTGTCATCAGATTTGCAGATATCCATGCAAATCTGATATTGTCATCACCATTAAATTACCAGCTTGGCAGAGACTGGATTCTGATTGTGCAAAGTGCTACTATGGTTGGCCTGATTGGTGTTTAACAACATCTGGAAATCCACAAGTTCCCCATTCCTGTTCAGCGGGCTTTAGTTTGAAAATGTCAGACTGTATGCGGAGGATATGTGAACAGAGAAACTTTGGTATGTTCACATTTGATCTTTCTGCAAGATAGTAATGCACAGTCATGTTGTGTGCTTGATACATTTTGCCAGTTCCGTGTGCCTACTTTCTCTGGCTCAACGTATTTCATCTCATCCATTGGCCTTTTAGTTCATTAAGCAACAGCCACAACTCTGCTGGCAGACCTTTCAAATTGGGGAAGAGTTCTATATCCAGATTAAGATGATCTAAATTGCTAATTTTGATGGATATGAGTTGTGCTGCGAATGCTTAGTTCAGCTCGAGTGAGAAACAATCCTTGTCCTAAAGCCTTACAAATGAGACACCCAAGACAGGTCAAAGAAGCATAATCATTTCCCATCTTAAAGATGGAAAACCAATGAAATTAAGCGGCTTGCCCAAGGTCACGCATGGATCCAAATTTAAAACAAATTGAATAAGTTTCTTTGTGTCATCTTCTTGCTGAGCTTGGAATCGTTTGTGTTCTCTGATCTCCTTGGCTCAGAGCTCAAGGAGCCATGCTGTTACAGTAATAACATGAGGCCAATAAGGCTTATTAAGCCCTGGAGGGATTCTTTGCAATGCCCAAGCCACAGAGCTGCCTAATAAGCAGAGAATGTTGGCCATGCTAATGTCATTAGTGGTGCCATTTGTTTTAGGCTAAATGTTGTACAAAGCAAAATCCGTTTTAATCCCAATTTAGAACAGGCTTGCGGCTGTCACTGGGGGCATTTTTCCCCCAGCCTATTTTTAAAAATAATCTGTTAGGCACGCCGGTTGCCAAAATTCCACTAAGAGCTCTATTCCAGGGCCTTATGCTTTCAGAAAGGCTTCTGCACGGTGCACGGCACGTGCAAACAGAGAGAAGGGCTGCAATTCTTGCTAGACAAAGGAAGCATGAACAGCAAATTGTCGTTTGAGGAATGAACCACACAGAGGGCCAAATTCAGCCTAATAGCAAATTGATAGTGGGCATCAGATGTCAGCTAGCACTGTTTCCATATCAGCATTAGATTAGAATGCAGGTGATGGACCCTGTTCTTTTCTGTAACTCTGTCAGGGGAAGGGACTGTAGCTCAATGTTACAAAAACTTTGCAAACAGAAGGTCCCAGTTCAAATCTTTAGCATCTCTGGTTATATGACTGAGATGGGAAAGAGCATTTGCCTAAGACCCTCAAGAGCTAATGGAAGATAGAGGAGACCATACTGGACTTAGTGGAGAAATGATCTGGTATAAAGTTGTTTCCTATGTTCCTCTGCCTTACTAACCTGTCCTTTCTTGCTCTCACCATTGCTAGAAAGGTGATACAGACCTTATTTTCAGACTTATTTGTATTACTACTTTACTCTGGCAGAAGTTAGACAGAGAAACCCAAAAAGAAAATGCAAAATGCTTAGGCATGGAGTGTTGAAGTGCAGACCTCTGCCTGGAAAGGGCAGGGCAAAAAGTAAGTGTGGATAAGCTCTTAGTTGAGTTCTGAGGGTAATACGTTGAACAGAGGTGGCTAACTGGCATCCTCCAGATGTTGTTGGATTCTAACGCCTATAAGCTCCAGAAAGCGTGGCCAACGGCCAAGGATGGTGGGAGCTGCAGTTTGACAACATCTGGAGGACCACAGGTTAGCCACCCCTGATTTATATAACTTGGTGGACAAGGACTTACCCATAGAGTTACCCTTCTACATAATGTTTGAGTATTTGCCCCATTTGTAAACGATGTATTGTCTCCAACATTTATTGGTAGAAGCCTAGCAACCTTCTTTTAGCCAAGAGGAAACTATGAATGAAATCCATACTGAAGCATGCACATGTGCAAACACACACACAGAGAGGTAAAGTTTTCACAGCAAATTAATAATTTAGATCTCAAAAGTAAGAGGCTACAGAACAAAACAGGCACTGCTGTTCTGGTATGAGTTCACAAAACTGAAATATCAGCAATAGAGATACCCTCCTTGCAAGTACCCTGTTCACTTTGGATATCACTAACTGGGGATGGTTCAGAGGAGATTGATATCAGCTCCATTCTTTATTTAGCATCCATCCAGATTTGTTTGCCCAAAGTTTGCAGGGGGGTTAGGCGACATCAGTTGTTTGTTGCACATTCATTCTGATTAATTTGTGAGGAGGTTATTCAATGTTGTATGAAACAAGTGTTATCCCACACTTTCCAGTACATCTCCCATCACTTTCCTCATTGCAAAAAGACTGATGGGGGCAGATTTGTTGCACAAGAGCACCAAATCAAGTTAATTGTGCAAACTGAATTTGCCAGTATGTAATTGAACCCCAGCAGAAAAGAGCAACAGTCTGGAAGTGCCATAGCACAGCCTATGAGAAAAAGACAAAAGAGATGTAATAACCAGGAGTGTTCACCCTTCAGAAGGCTAGGGAGAGATGAGAGATTTAAAATCTGCAAGCATGAACTAAGAAAATGTCAGCAGTCCATGCTTCACCTTTTTTGATGATAGCAGAGAAGAAACAATGGCTGTAGATCAGAAGAATATCAGTTTAAATATTAGAATGAGGGAAAGCCATTTTTCTGCCCACAAGGGCTGCTGAACAGCAAGGTGAGCCACCAATTATTGTTTTCATCAACAGCTT